CTCTAAAGAAAGCAAGGCAAATGAAGGAATGTAGTCACTCTATTTAGAAGCATCACAAGCCCAATAACAAATTGTAATTTACTGTGGGAAAGAAAGCAATATGAATTTGTTGCCACAGAATTGTTGTTTATCATAATAATCTTTCTAGTGAAAAGCCTAATTTGTTCTTTCTCCACGAATATTTTAAATATGATTACCATAATATCAGAGACTAAGATAGTCCAAAATGCAGTGCTGACCTTGAGTGTTCTTTTCGATTTAACATGTGGTCCTTTAACATTCAGGAAACAACTTGCCTCAATTCACTTATTAATAGATAATCTGAAAATGTTCTGTTCTGTGATATATGCCTGTGCCATTCAGATTCTTGGAAATCTTTTACTATTCCATGGAACAGCATTACCAATGTAAATAGGTGTAAGATTTTTCACACTATCTAATGGGAAAACTCCATAACTAAAGTGAGCTGCTCCCTTGGCCCTCCACTAGTTTAATTTTTACTTACATTCCACCTCGTATTATTAGCTCCACAAAATGAAAGTGAAATAATCCCGTATTAATTAAAGAGTGATTGAATTCCCTCAATCATCTTTGCCTTGGCTTATTTAGACAGTAACACCATGTGGCTCTCCAAGGAAAACATGTGCCAGAAGAGTTTCATAAAGAAGGAGAGGATATGGGTTTTGTATTATACTTAAAACCTTTTCCCATTGAGACGTTCTATAAAAGACGATAGCAAAGATTTTAAGGGGAACCATATATAGATTCTGCACTGTACAATTTAAACAGAGGTTGCAAGTCCTGAAGAATCACTGATGCAGAATACTTGTGATTCATTCACTGTACTGTATTGATAGGATAAAATTATTGTTGTTATTTTGGAGAAACTTTGTGATTTTGATCTAAAAGGATAAAAAGGCTGTATGGGGAATTACATGCATATGTATGCATATGTATGCTTATGTATCGCTTATACCAAAAAGCAGTTTTGAGTGTTGTGGCTTGTCTAAAATTCAGGCAAGGTGGTCATTACTTCTGCTAAATATAAATGGAAGCAGCAGATGGTTGTAAAGTAGTAATCTACTACCATTTACTGAAGAGTAGGCTAGCATGAAAAGAAATTCAAAGAGTAAGCTTGTCACTTCCTTTCTAAGTGTCTTTGTTTGTGTGTGTGTGTGTGTGTGAATAATGTAACCAGTGGCATGCTGTACATTCTGAAGGAAATGTGGTTTTCTAAGAAACATTTCACTCAACTTCTTTAAAAAGCTAGTACAATAAACACTTGCAAATAAATGAATACGCGATTTGGATATATGTTGGGCCTTTATAAAGAAGCACATAAGCCCTTTGTTATTCAGAAATAGTATTTTAAAAATACCATTCTCTGCCCTGTTGCCATCTAGCTCTATCATACTTAAAGCTAGCTGTAACAACTGTGTTATTCTGATTAATGTCATATAATCAAAAATCCATTTAATAATATTTTTCCAAATATAATTAAAAAGATAGGATTAGCTGGTATAAAGAGACTATATTATCCTTTGGGGATACAAGCATCAATAAAACTATATATTTACCACATAGTAGATACAAAATTCACTTTCCTGCTTAAAGATGCAGAGTATCTTACATGAGCATACTAATAAAGATAGAAGAGATATGAAGATATAGGCTCCATTCATGATACTTACTGACTTATTTCAACCTCCCAGGCCTGATTCCATAACTATTGTTTTGTGCAGGCTTTTGGAGTGAGATTTTATATTGCAATCTCTGACAAAGAGCAAAGAAGAAAGGGAGAATGCATGCTCTATTCTGTGTTGTATTTTCCGTAACCTAGAGATTATGAAATAAGCATTCACCTTGATTTTATTTTCACAAGTCTTTCCTCCCCAAGCATTCTTTGAGAGGGGAAAAAAGGGAGCTGTAATAATAGATTCTAACTTGCCTCATTTATTTTCTCTTTTAATAAAATAACTGAACTGTAACCAGCATACCCAAGTTGAAGAATGCTGTTGAAATTCCAGGCCCAGGTGTACTAGAGGTGACATTTTAAGTCTCAGGGGAGAAGACCAATTGCCTTTCATGAATGCATAAATTATAATACTATGATTGTGGTCTCCTAAGCAGCACTACCATCAGCGAAGATCCATGTCTGTAAGGTGTCTGGCCGGAAGATAGCAATAGTTAATTTGGTGACAAGGGAGAGACAAAATGATATGGATGAGCAAAAGGACTGTGAACAAGGAAAGCTGAGCTGTGAGGGGTGGGGAGGACAAAACAAAACAGCAGTTTAAAGACTATTCACAGCCGATTGTAATAAACACATGAGGTAAATTTTGTATTTCTCACTTCAGTTTAATAAGCATGATATCATATTGTGCTATATATTGCTTATGAGGATATTTGTTCGTGTGAAAACCAACATATGTATGTATATACATATACATACATACATACATACATACACATACATACACATACACACACATACACACAAACACACACACACACACACACACACACACACACACACAC